GATACAGAGTACTGGGGACCACTAGCTAAAGCATGCTCCCCACGCCAATTCTTATAAAAGATGCCAAGTCTGCAGTCACATTGAGATGGAAGATTTAGTAACTATATGTCTGGTTCAGCCCTGGAGTTCCTTAAGAATCTGGTATAAGAAAATACTGTTTTGTCTGAAAGAGAGTCCCTTAATAGTGGGCTCATTATGGCCATCCGAGTGAAGTGGCAGTTTACTATCGATATTGAACGGCAACCTAGCCCTCAGAGGTGATTAGATTCAAAAAAGGCGTCGTAACTATTATGACATTCCAGCATATACAAACCAGGTTTGCTGCTACATCTCATCTTCTAATATTATATCGGATATCCTTGTAACTCCTCGTTTTCAGGCTCTTGCATTGTTCCCCCATAAACGGTTAACGGAATAGAAACCTCGAATGACTGACAGAATATATTTTCCAGCGCCGCAAACACCGTCCCTCGATCGTCTCGCTCCACGGTTTCAAGCAGATTGATCCCAGAAATACCCACATCTTCCTCATAGTGTAAGCCACAAGTCACAAATTCAAACCGAAGTTGCCATTCAAGATTAACTCCGGAGGTTATGAGTGTTGGTGTGGCTGAGACGGGGATCGAGGGCATAAATGCGACTTTGGTAGAATACAAAGTATTCTCAAAGCAGGTAGCGTGGGTCTTTCTAGTGGCTCTGGTGATGCTGGCGCTGGATCGAAGAGCTATCGTTGGGCTTACTTTCTCGTAAGTCTCTAGCGACCCGCGGAGATAGTAGCAGGGAAGTGCGGAGTTGGAGAAGTCGATAGTTGCCACTATCGTTTCTCCCAGGCGGTGTGCCGGCCTGTTAAACACAACAACAGCAATGCGTCGACCATTGCGAGATATCTCGAAGCGATTGGTGCTTTGGCCAGACGTACAGGACTGGGTACTTCGTAGAATTGCTAGGTCAATGGAATCTTTGCAAGACATCAATCTATTAAGTGGCGCCGGGATCGACTGCAGCTCCATAGGACTTGTGATGGAATTAAATGACTCTCGGCGGGATTTCTGCCCAAGAATCTCGTCCACGTAGGACAAAAATTCAGGGGCTGACGTCCATTGTTTGGCGCTGATGCTCTTTTCCTTCGATGGACGGGACGAATTGCTCTCAACTCTTTGCACACGCGCTTCATCTCTCAATAACACATATGGACGCATAAGGTCATGTCCTAACACAACTCCCTGGCCTATCCAACTTAATGAGCAAAATTAAATAAAAAGGACATGAATAAAGTTAAAACTTACCATCAACACCACTAAAAACTCGAAAAGGGATATTAATGCGATGAAGATCATTCGGGTTGGCAGCTCGCTGTGTACCAATAATAAGGTTGTAAGAAAACACAATGGATTTACCCTTATAGCTTGCTGGCAGTCCTTTGGGTAAAGTAAATGAGAAAGAAAACGATTTTTCCTCGTCAGGGTCTAAACGTAAGTCGACGAATAAAAGTGACTGTGGAGTCGAGAGCAATGGGATGGACTGAGAAGAGGACACGCCTCTCATTTCACGTAAACCATTCAGTTCCCCCCCTGATAATAGGCCGTTGATTGAATCTCCAATGTTTGACAAGCCTAGGTTCCCCCAGAAACTGTGCCGAGATTTCTCTGATTTTGAGGACGCATCCTTACGGCCTTGGTTACCCATAACAGCGCTGCGTTTTACTTCCTCAAAAATGGACGGATTCACCAGGGACCCATCAATAGTAAAAGAGGCACTGATTTGGGCATAGCCCATTAGCAGTCTCTGGGATCGCGAAGTTTGATTCCCAGAGAAGGAGTCTAGGTTGGAGTAATGTCTGCGGTGTCGTAGTGGGGGTCGCGACTGGCCCATTGGCAATATATACTCGGATTCCAGTGTTTCGGTAGAATTGTTGCTTAGCGAATAAAACTCGCCACTGCTTCTAGTGCTCCCGTCGACGACGGAATTAGATAGAATCTTTGTTGCCGGAGTCAGTTGCCCCGACAGTTCTAGCGGCTTCTTGGACTCAACATTTGAAATTGGCGAAACCGGAAAGGAATTTGACGGTGGAGTTTCTTCATCGATCCGCGGGCTGCTCGACAAGGCTGAAACGCCCATTTCATGTTCGTCGAGTGACTGCGGAGTCTGAGGGAATTTGAAGTCTGTTGGAAATGGACCCCCACGCTTTTGTGGAGATTGGCGAGCCCGGCGACCAACGGAGGTTGGCGAACGGCCAGGTCCTCGAGGGCTATCTCCTTCCGGTCTACCAAATGGGAGAGACAGGCTGGAGCGCGAATCGGCCGATGAAAGTCGAGGCAACGGCGAGCGGGGTGCTACCCGATCTCCAGTTAGCTAAAAACCAGGGCCAACAAGTGAAGGAAAATACCAGACTGAGTCCCATTGCCGTAAATATCGTTCCTCATCATGGGAGCTTGAAGACTCGCTGAACGAACATGCCCCTTGCCTGCCTTGGGGCTGAAAGGATGTGGGAACGATTTAGATTCTGGCGCGAATCCCGGCTGTTCCACGGAGATAATCGACACGGATCTTTTGTGGCCGTGCCCAAACGGTCTGCCATTGCCGTGATTACTAGAAGCAGTCGGGGGAAAGCTGTGGCTTAGGGAGTGCGGCGAGCTCAACGATGCTGAGGGACGATGTCCCCTTTCGACGCCATTGCGTGATCTCTGCCCGGCAGAGGCTGGGCGACGGTTGCCATTATTGAGCGAAAAGGGGTTCGGCCTGGCCGGAGAATAACGCGCTCCGTTTTCAATCACATTTACCGGGCGAGATCCACCTCTATAATGTTTTTGCGAACCTCTACCATCACCGGTAGGCTCGGGAATGACGTGTTTGAAGGTGATTGTGCATTCAACATTCTCGCCAGCAAATATAGGTTGGTCTTTCCATCGCACGAACACTTGGATATCTGACAGCATGACGAATCGGCGTATCTATACGGCGTCGCTCATCGCACGGGCAGGTTTAGGGGTAGCGGCCAAAGACGGGGAACGTCAAGGTCGCAGGAAGTCGCAGATTGAGTGAGGGCTTGCTCCAATGTTTCGAGCACACGCATTCTGTCAAAATGAACTCACAGTCATGAGCAAATCTCGTAGCAGCATCACGGAATATAGGGACAGGGGGTATGGGTTCGATTCGTGAAAGAGTCTGTGATCAACTCGCAGTGGAGGGATGATCTTCCCGGATCGCTGGGAGAGTTGGAACCAGCCACTTTGCGCGCGGATGTGCTCTGCGCTAGCCGAATATAGTCTAGTGCTAGGGGATCTGTGGCGGAGGCAAACCTAACTAGCGATCTAAGCGCGCGCTTCGAAGCGACCTGTCATTTCATGATTCTACATGGAGAGCTGAAAGGATAGACTGAATAAAATAATATGAGTACATGGGTTCTTTGAATATAGACATTATGCTCTGAGACAGAACTTTTGCTCAGAAATGGTGGTCGTGCCCCATTCAAAGGGGCCTGTTTCAAGGGATATCAAGTCCCTTTTGTAAGTGGTGGAGAGCGTTCGCCGTAAAATTCAACGGGTACTACGATTGGCCTTGAGGGTAGAAAGGCCAGTAGTAGTACCAACAGCAGACATATTCTCTATGAGTAGCCAGGTGCGTTGCGTTTGCTGTAGATTATGCCTCCAGCCATTTCGCGTGCACGGCGGAGGCGGCCATACCCGCATTTATGGCCGGATATCCCTTTTACCGTTTCGAAAGATTGCTATGTTCTTCTATACTATCGAACAAAAGCCGATCTAGAAAGGTTTCCCCTGGTTTCCAGGCAGTTTGTCAATCGTTTTGGTTTCCAAAGGCGAATCGGGTGTTTCTCTTCGTGGCCGCAGGCCCAGCTCTGACATATGGTCCCATATGCGGTCTTTTCGCTTTTCCCATCGGATTTTCCTCTTTTCCATTTCCTTTTCCGAGGGACGCCACTTGCTCTTCAATATCCGGCGAATAGCCTCGGGGGAGACTTTGAAATGTTCCGCTAAAACAGGAGTGCTGAACTTTTGCGGGTTTTGCCTATGGAGCTCCCGCACTCCCTCTATGGCATCGGGCGAGAGACGTTTCGGTGGAGCCCAGCCTTCGGCGAACTTCTTTTTGAGCGCATCCTTTTGCACCCGCCACTGTTGTTGTGGTTGCTTCTTGGTTGTCTTCTTCTCGGCGATTGGATCCGGAGATTCGGGCGACGTGGGTTTGGAGTTCGTCGACGCGTATCTGCAATAATTGCTGTCGCTTAAGCGGCCAGAGATCACATTCCCAAATTTCACTCCATGATTTCGGACGATATGAAGGTCATGTAGCTCAGATCTATCGTGGTAGAAACGGTTTTGAGGAGCTCTTGAGAGGATCAGCGCGGGTCGAAGGGGAATAGGGGAAGCTTCATTCTTCAGCACTGCCTGTGCAAGTTGCAAGCAGCGACGAACCGGCCAGCGAGTGATTCCGGGCATCGCAACCATTGAAAGGTTCCTGAGTATCAAAGTCAAGCAAAAGCTGCCTTTCTTCTTCTTCCAATTTTGAGAAACAGGACAGATGGGCTTGGCGCTTACTAAACAGACAAGCCCCTTTTCCAATCAGCAACACAAGCATCAAATGTGCAGTGGTCAACAAAGCGAGCACAACAGCACCATTGTAACCCATTGAGACAAGCTTTGATCATTGAACAATTGGGGTTGGAGGCTAACAGCAGATTCAGTCCATTCTCCGGACGGACCAGTGTGGGGTCTAACCTATCCATTCCCGAACATAGAGGCCAGAGTCTAGGAGGTCCAAGCTTGACATTGATTCAATGATTTAAAAAGCTCCCATCCTGACGACGATGCCGTGGATGTTATAATAGTTACTTGTTCTAGAGAATAGCAAGCTCTCGGATGTCCTGGCCATGCATGATACCCTACACCCGTGGTATCATGGCTAATTAGTGCATAATAGCACCAGTGGATAGTATCAACTTGCGTCACTTGATAAGACGATAACTAGTTACAGAAGATGAGATGCAGATTCATTATTGACACTCCAAACAGTGACTCATTGCGAATCGCTGATATCTTCTACAGAGTATATACTGAGGCAGAAAAAGGAAGACAGCTGTCAAAGCCCTGGATTTTCCAGGGTTGGTGTATTATTAGTAGCATTAGCATTAGCACCCACAGAGTACAGAGTAACTAGTTAACTGGCTCGAGCTATAGTTATAGAGGGCCATCTTGTTGACCTGGTGTACCGGTCGGGTTACCCATGACGGCTCAACCAGGCATCCTTGCAGCGTCCGTGATGATGGTGTCTGCCAAGGCAAATTCGCTGGGATGCAGGGCTTCACGGGCCCCAAAAGCAGCTCGCCCTATGGAAGCTGCCCACAGCAATTCTCTCGCCCACAGAGCAGCGACAACCCTGCTGCAAGCTCTGGTTTTTCTCGTTTCCTTTCGTCTTATTCTCTCTTTTCACCGGCAGTCATTCACTCCCAACATTCCTTTACTGCTCCAACACGTCGGCCTGTTCCCCATACAATCCTTTGCCGTGTGTGTTGTTTATGCGTCTAGTTGACGGCCGCTCCCCCACGCCAGACACGCTCTTTCGCTTCAACCGAAGATAGCAGTCCTCTAACAAGCATCCTCTGGCGACGGGCCACGAAGATCTATCCTGCCTTGGTCCCGACCAATGCCGCTCCAGCCTGAAATGATAAACGGATCCAGACTGCTTGGGGGCTTCACAACACCAAGCTGCACCTCTCCAGAGCCTTGGAGGTAATGGCAAATCACAATTCCTTAGGCCTGAGAAGCAAGTTATCCGTCCCCGTAGCCTCTGTCAAACCAGCTCCCACAAACTCCCCCGCCTTGAAGGCCGGTTCGAAACCGTCTCCCAAGCTCTCCTCTCCCTACCAGTGCTCGCTATCGCTACGAACGGTGATCGGTACGACGACATCCAATCCACATGGATTTTCCTGCCACGAGCCGAGTCGAACATTTGCTTTGTGCGCTGGATCAGCTGCCGTTTTGGCGGAGTTGGACGAGGAGTTGAATATCTCTCAGCGATTCTTCCGCGCCCGCCCTTCCGCCACAGGGATCAATGCCATACCGTCCTACTACAACAACACCTCAACCCCTCCCACCACCCCAGATACACGATCGAAAACCCTTCAAATTCCTTCAAGAGCAGCTAACGGCGGTTCGTCCACAAATTCTCCAAATGACTGGGGAGAGCCTAGCTCTCCGCGAACTTGGAGCTCGCGAGAGAGAATCAAAGCTGTTACTAGTGTAGCTCTGAGTCCAAATGGCAGATTCCTAGCCGTAGGAGAGGTATTGTGGTTTTCTCGTTCCATTATTCCAAAGTGACTAGCTAACCTTTCCACATCATTAGACTGGCTACAATCCCCGGGTTCTTATCTTCTCAACTGCGAACGATTTCCCATCAGACACCCCCCTATCGGTCCTAGCAGAGCATAGTTTTGGGGTACGGAGCCTTGCATTCAGCCCTAATTCCCAATACTTGGCAACTCTAGGTGATATCAATGATGGGTTTCTTTTCATCTGGGCTCTGAACCTGAAAACTGGGGCAGCCAGGCTACATTCAGCGAACAAGTGCACTTCATTTATTCGAGACATATGCTGGCTTGGAAACAATCTTATCACGTACGCGAACCTGCCTATATCCATCTCGATTTCTCAACATGACTGACTTGATCTAGGGTTGGTGTACGGCATATCAAAGTTTGGCGACTGGGTGATGGGGCGCCAAATTCTCCGACGAAAGCCAAACCCAATTCCGATTCTTCGACACTTTCCGCCAATCTAGGACCTATCGCCTTACCTGGAAGGAATTGCCTATTGGGCAACTTGAGAGAGAGCGTCTTTACCTGTATCTCAACAATTTCTGACAACGAGGCTATTGTTTGCACGGATACCGGTGCTATTTGCCTCCTAGACGACACCACAGGACAGCAGAAACTCCACTTCATCAAAAATTTAAACATAGGCGTTTCGTCTATAGCTGTTGACCGCGAAACTGCAGTTGTTTGGTTTGGCTGTCGGGACGGAGCCTTTCAGCAACTTTCTACAGAAGACCTGAAAGTCTCGAGTTCGGGTTCGGTTCCAACCCCAAGCACAGAAACGCCCGAGTCACCCAAATCGAAAAACCCACCAACTGTTTCCATGGGAATCGTTTCGAATCACATGGTTACAGTTGATTCTACCCATGCTATTCGGGTTTATCCCTTGGTTTCGCCGAATATAGCTCAGGTTACCCAGGGCGTGGACCTTTTAGCACACAAAGACTCCATTTTAGGAATCAGCGCCATTACTGTACCTACTCCACATTCTGGTGCTCAATTTTTCACGTGGTCATGTACCGGAGCTGTTAGCTTTTGGGATTTAGAGGGAAAATGCCATGCTACTCGAAGAGTGGAAATAGAACAACTTGCTGGTAACGATGATGAGCCAAATGAGCTAAAGGTTTTACGAACAACCGAAGATATGAAAATGTTTGTCTCGGGAGACAAGTACGGCGTAATACGGTTCGAAACCCATACCGCGCCGTAATCGTCAACGCTAATTAATTCTTAGGACGATTACCGGCGAGCCTTGGGGCTGTAAACATAATGTCAGAGCACATGCTGGAGAAATCACAGACATTGCAATACACTCTAATTCGGAGCTACGCCTAATCGCTACTTGTGGCCGGGATAGAATGGTTCAGGTTTTTCAAGATACTGAAGAGTCATTCGATTTGATCCAAACCATGGATGAACATGTTGCCGCTGTCGGTCGACTCTTGTTTGTAAAAGATGGCGAGAAGCTTTTATCTTGCTCTGCTGATCGTACAGTCATCATACGGGAACGTGTGGTCAGAGAGGGCGATCAGACTACTCTGGCAGCATTTTTCTTATCGAAAGTCATAACCTTGAAAGCATCGCCTATCTCAATGACGATTCCACCAGACTATACGGATACGCTTATTATATCAACCATGGACAGACAAATTCATAGATACGATATCCCTTCGTGCCGTCTTCTTCACTCGTTCAAAGCTGCTGATCTAGAGACGAACGATACCGTGGTTATGAGCTCTCTCACTGTCGGATCTGAAACCGCCGAATCAAGCCCCAAGCTTCTAGTTGGGGTGTCAACAACGGATAAATCAATCCGAGTATATGATTTATCCAAAGATGCCCTTTTAACACGGGAATTTGGCCACACGGAGGGTGTTAGCGATGTGGTTCTTATTGAAACGCATCAGGGAGATGCAATTAAAAAGACTTTGGTCAGCACTGGACTAGACGGAATCATTATGATTTGGGATTTGACAGTCCAACTGCAATCACTGCTACAAGATACCACAAATTCCTTCGTACGGCCAGAATATGAGACACCAAGCAAAGAGCTAACAGCTAGTAAGCCACCATTGCGGCGAATCTTATCACGCAGCGAGCTTGCCGGATTTCAGAAACTAGATAGCCCGTCACCGTGTCCAAGGACTCGAGATCCCTCCCCACCGCTCACTCGAAGAAGGGTTTCGAGATTTACCCTATCTCACCCTTCAAAGCACGGTAATGGGGTTACTACCTCTACAATTCCCGTGCCCTCGACGCGTCGATCTCCAACTTTCTATTCGGACTCTAACGGCAGAAAACGGGGTGAAGGTTCCCTCTCTCCTCCTAGCCCAAAGTCACTCACTTCCCGGACCCTGAACACAAAAAATAGCCATACAGAACTCCGCCGACCCTCTATGGATTCCCGGCGCTCGAAAACCAGCGGGAATACAAGTGAATTCGGCAGCCTCAATATGTCCACCGAACAAGTTTGCCGCACTCTTCGAGCGTACAGGAAGAAACTCCACGGATCAAGCGATCATCTCTACTCCGCCAATGAGCTTGAACGGGAGCTGGAACTCACCGTTCGAGCCCTGAGTGAGCGAAGTAAAAGGAGCCAAACAAGCGAAGATTCCACGGACTCTGATAGCAGTAAATTGATTCCTCCATTACCCTCACGGCCCGTACGACTTGCCCGTCGGGTCCCTTCCACCCCGAATCTAGGACGATCGAGAAAGCGCGAGGAAAACTACGAAAAGGTCCATCGTACAAATTCTCTCGACGCCGATGGTGAAGGTTGAGCCAAAGCGCCATTCAGCCAAAGTCCTTCTCGCCCTCTTTTGATCTAGCTTTGTCTTTTGCGTTCCTTTCCACGTCATGAAGCTCATTTCGCTTTGGACATGCAGCTTACCTTTCTCTGAGGAATTGGTCGCCCTTTTTTTTATTCTTTCTCGGCGAAATAATTATCGACTGGGTGCTTTTGCTGTGATTTTAGGAGTCCAAAGCTCGTTAATTCCTTTCCTCGAGATACCACTGGGTTCGGTTCTGTTATCACCCCTTTAACGGAGCTCGCTTTTATGTTTCCACTTATGTTCTTCTTTTCCACTTTCATTGGCACCAAGCATATTATAAAAGCGTATATCCATGTTTATTTTTACTCCACGATTCTTGAAGCACACCTTCAGGCATATGTTCTTACCAGAAATCGTTTACTGCCGCAAATCAGTATAAGGCGTTCCCCAAGATCGATGTTAATCCGTCTACACAACGCCTTTTTAGAACTCTTCTATTTGGTTTTTTTATGGGAGCATTCAAACATACATCTTTCTTTTTTCCTGTCTTTCTTGTCTCTTATTCCCACTTTTAATGAGTCAATCATACCTTCATACATGGCTTTACTGGTAATCGGCGCACCTCCTTTTCTCCTAGTCCTTTTTCTACACTTTTGCATCTATGCGGCTAATAACCTCCTCCTCCTTGCCTTCCTAATTGCTCTTTGGGAGGGTAATCAATTAAGCCCACCGCTTCTTCGACTTCTTAGCATGAGTATCGTTTGCTAAAATACACCCACATTTGAAACAGGAACTATCCTTTAGAAACAGGTTAATCGTCCCAACTCAACCTTCCAAACTTCTCCTGCAGTATCTGCCACAGGCCTCCATTGTCATGCAGCAAGCGAGCTAGATCAAGTGCTTTCCCATACCATCGTCGACTAGCGGTGTCATCAGAGGCTAGATAGAGGTCAATTGCGTGGTTAAAAGCTGTTGTCGCTAACCACTCGAGTTCCTCGTTGGGATATGCAAGTTGAGTAGAGGAGGATCCAGCGCCTTGCACGATTTCTTCATCTGGTCTTTGGTTTTGGTATTCTGGGCCATCTCGCGCTAGTATGTATGCTTGGTCGAGTACCGATTCTGCAGCTTCAGGGCTGGATTCGATCGAGAGCTGGAAGGCACAGCGAATCCAACGGGATACTTTGTCAATGTTTTGCGGTTTTGTCTTATGATACGCTTGGATGATGATCTGCTCTTGGTTAGCACAGGTTGAGTCAAATATAAATGCGCTGCAGGAAGGAGAAGAGTTACCTCAAAAATCTTAACTATTTCCTCAGTAGGGCAGTCTGAGCAGAGAATACAATCCGCAAATAAGCCATAGAGCGTATCATCTGCCACTTGCCGAGACTCGTACAAAATCTCACACAAACTTTCCCAATGTTTCAACCTAACAGCAGCTTCAAAATCAAAAGCAAGCAGGGTTCGATACTTTTTAATCAATTCTTCAGAGTCGTCACTTAGATCCTTATCCAACAAAACTGAGGCTGCGTTTCGGAAGTCTGATATATGGGCTCTAGCGTCAAGGTAAAATTTCTACTCGACTACATTAGTTCACGAAATTCTGAGAAGTATGGATCAATTCCAACTAACCTGCACTTCAGAGTCACTGTGCATTCTGGCCTGCGCCACTGTTATGATAGCCGCGAGGAAATTACATAAAATGCGCCGCAGTTCGATGTCCTTTCGGGCTTCTGCTCCTAGATTTGTTGGATATAGATTTATGATCTTTGTCCTAGTTAGTTTCATAATTACGGAAGAAATAGGAGGCCGACATACCTTCAGACAGGCGTTTAGCAATCGTAAAATGTGCTGCGGCTCCCACGCTGTACAATATTGTAGCGCGAGATTATAACTATTACGGGAAAACCATTCGAGCTCAGGAAGAGTAAGCTGCCCAGTGTCGAAATTCCCTCGGGCTATAGCTATCTGTACTGGGCTTCATGAGAAACTGGGCACCAATACGAGGCTTCTTCTCTTTGCATGCTTACAGCTTTCAAAGACCTTGCAGACTTGACTCACAAGTCCCAGTTCATGAGCCTCGTTTTGATTTAACTCGGAAATTAGAAGTCGAGCAGTGCATCTATGGCATCGTCAACGAGTGAGAGAGGAACACTGCGGCTAATACTCTCGTACCGTAGCAAAGCGGGGAAATGTACTTCCCGAATGGAATGGTCATCCAAATGATCCAACAGCTGTTGTAGGACAATTGCGGCCTGCCGCTCCGCCCCACTATGTAAGGCTTCAGCTATACATGCCAGCAGGTATGTGGGCCGCTCATCATCGAATCTGCATATGATCTCCAAACACTCTCGTGCTGCTCCGGCTATTAGCACTAGCATTGAATATATTCCGCTCTCTTTCATACCAAGGTTCAGATCTTCGTCTTGTATAGCTACTCGATACATCAGATATCTCGTCAAGGTTTCCGATTTGCATGTTTCGGAAAGCCCTAAGAAAACTTCCCTTACTATTTTGGTAGCCTTGCGCTCTAAGGAGCACAGAATCAATCGCCTTTCCTCTGATCAGCAAAAGTGGGTATGAGAAATGACAAAAGTTGGAGAAGTCACCTTTTCAATTTGCATTTGTTAGTTTCTCCTGAGTTTGCGAAAATCGGATGGAGAGCCAACTGGCACCAATTCTGAGCAATGTCATATTTTTCGAGATCAAAAGCAGTTGTGACTTTTTTCCATAATAACTAGCTACCTCGTTAAAAATCCAACTTCAAACTGGATTCAGGTTAAAGGTATGCTCACAATCAAAGCCGCATGAGTCGCCTCCCCGGATAGCTGGGATTTCCAGATTTCCGTCAGCTTCACCACAGTAGACTCGAGGGATTCAACGCCATCATCCAGACAGGGACTCGTGGTTTTCATCCAAATATATGTAACAAGGCCCCTTTCAAGGAAGGATTTGTCCCCGTAAGTAGCAAATCTTTGAAGAAGGAGTAACTCCAAGGCCTTAGTGGCAGATTCTTCGCTGAATACTGTCAATACTGGAATAAACTGCGCAGTCCAAGACTTACCTTAAGTTTCGGAGCTGATGAATGTGATGAATCAAACTGACATCCTGTTAAGGCCGAGAATCAAATCAAGGGGTTGGTGAGACCAACAGTGTGAAATTTGATTCAGTCGCAGGAGCTGTTCTCAAAAAGGTACAAAGGCCTATATTCCTATAGGTTCAGTGCTTTTCTCGAGATAACAATTGTATTCACTTACGGTCATAGTAGCGTTGGCTATCCGGGCTCTTTTGTGCCTGGATCACGTCAAAACTCAAAAGTAGCACCTCCATCCTATGGCCGTATTCCTACAAGCTGAGCACATATTTCAGGACGCGGACAATCTAAACCGAGTACACTTACACTTTCGAGGACGTTAAGAAGCTCTGATGCTTTGTTTATCGAGGGTTCCGTTTTCAAAGCAATATTGACCCGCACTACAGCGAATCCTTAGCACCTCCTGAAATCCAAGCGGCAAGGAGCATTTACCAAGCCCGTGCAATATACACAGTCTCAATTCGCTGGCGTCAGGACCCAGCGATTCCAACGGCTTCTGGCAAAAAGCATCTAGAGCTCGTTCCAGCCATTTTATGGCTTCTAGCGGCTCCTTTTTGTCAAGCAGAGTGCTTCCAATATCGAATAGAAGATCTGACAGGCACTCTATCAAGGTGGCATCTTGTTGAAGAGCTCGGTAGGGAAGTTTAGAGAGCATATGGTCTGCAAGATCTAGACGATCTTGTTTCCACGCCTTGGGTGGTTCTTAGCGGTGAATGAATATTATGGACACAAACAATGACCTTACCAAGTTGATTCGCAAAATATAATATTCAGCGGATAGTTTAAGTGAAATATCGGACTCAGGCCCTCCATTTTCCTTGGACAGCCTCTCTTCCCTCAGCGCTGCTTTCTCGAGTATTTTTAACCCCACGTCGAATTGGCTGAGAGCTGAGACAATTGTCAGCAAAGGTGTTATCCCATGGAATTTCGATATCAACCAACATATACAAGACTTCGCAGATTTCAAGGCCGTTCTTAGCAGGCGAATATCATCTGTACTCCGGCTTAGCTTTTCGAACTGAAAAGGCTTCACAAACAAGTACCCGTGCAATCACCCACTTGTCCTCCGACAGCGCATTCTAGCATAAAAAAGGCGAACGATCGTGCTAAGGCAACTTGTGAGCATCCGCTTGCAAATCGGGTGGTCAATGAAGCCATCACGAACCTCGGCTTAGCCACTTGATAATTCCCTCGTTCAATCCCTCTTTCCTCATAGATCTAGTACACGAATTCCATAGCCTCGTTCCCACAGCATCCAGTTCTGCCCTGACTGCTGGGTCAGGCACTTGTGTTATTTGCAAAGCAGTATTGATATAATGACGGAGCGCGTCAGGCTTGCTTTGAGCGGTATCACCGCAATTATTGCTCTCGATGGTTTCGACGTGCAGCGACTCGGCAAAGTCTGTATGCCTGAGCGTTAGTACTAGCCTATATGGAGGGGATGCCCAATGCCCACAGATGTAGGGTACTAACCTATGATGGATTTCAGTTGCTCCCGGCGGTTCTTGCGATGCAAGTCCATATCTAAAGAAAATAAGATATCGAGAAACCTCGAATATTCGCCAATGGACCACGATAGTCGCGATAGGCCAACTGTTGCAGTGGCATTTAGTTAGTGGGTGCGAGCGGATCTCAAACCCCGCCTTAACAAATGTGTCCCAATCCGGAAATCAGCCTCATTTGCAAAGCGGACTGGCGTTCTTTGGCCGCCGGCTTTAGAGAATTTTAAAAAAAGAGACAACGGATGTATTCTGAATTAATAACAATCATACCCATGAGATGCTACTATACATGGGTGCATGCGAATAGCATAGTTTTGGTCAAACTCCGAGATACCCCTGGTTCTCAATGATCGTACGCCAATCAGCCAAACCAATGCGCGAGGAGGGGATAGATATTTACACACGTAAAACAAGATGAATAGTTATATACCAACGAAGCCAAATCCAGTGACTGTAAGCCCAAAATCCTAGTTTTCGGTCTCGACAGATGTGGTACAAACCACAATGTACTTGAACATAATGAAATCGAGATTGAGTAAAGGTACAGGCTATCTACCTGTCAGTGCGTTTAGTGGGTAAAAAGTTTCCTACAATGATAGAAGGGCTAGCATTTGGTATTAGCGTTAGATATCGCTCATTGTACGAAGCATTGACTTACATATTATGAGGATCTCGGCGGATTGTAAATGAAAAGCAGCATTGTATACCGCGTTTAGGGCTCTTCGGGTCGGGACTTTTAAGGGTGCAGCTAGTGAGCATAGCTTTTTGCGAGCTGTCGAATGCAATTGCACCGAATTTTTCCCAATAGCTAACAAGCTGGTCTTCCACTATAATTTCATGGATGGCAAGTTTACCCTAAAGCGGCTAGATTAGCAGTGTGGTGGTGAAAAAGGCGGGAAATGAATCGGATCAAGAGGAAACATACGTCTCTCAAGGATTCGATTGGCACATCGATTAGCTGGGCCATTTCTTTATTTCCTCGAAAAATTTGGCCTGTACGACGCCAACAACAAGCTGGGATGGCCATGCTTGCAAAAACTCGGTCGTATTCCATGAGGCTTCGCTCAAACCACATTTCTACGAGAACAAGTTCGATATCTGTGAGGCTCTGCATGCGCTCTCGGAACTTTGGCCTGAATTTGTCGAGTTGACGTAAAATCTTTTGCCGTGAAGTAGGTTGGAGATGCTCCTCCATATACTTATTCAGTCTGGCATAGCCATTCACGTAATTGAACGGTTTAAGTAATCCGGCATCATATTTGGCTTTGAGGAGTTTGTTCATTCTTTCTTCTGGAGGATCGGTTCCGGACGGATCCGCCGCCGTCATATAATATGTTTCCTTGGCCTTGTCATTCCCAACGGTACTATTTGGCCGTTGAATTGAATTTCCTTGCGCAGCCTGCGATGTTGTGAGATATTGAGGAGGGCCCATTGACGGCTGCTGTAGTGGTTGTTGTTGGGAGATAAATGGGCCAGAGCCTGGAATATTAGTCATACTATTCATAAGCGCCATATCGGAATACAATCCGGGCGTGTCATCGCCTTGATACATAGCGGATTCGTCTAGTAAACTTGTACTGAGAAAATCGTTAAGGAGGTTGTATTCGTTCGTAACTTCAGGGGCGTTGAACATATAAGAAGGGTGGAATGTGTGCATATCCTGAAACTGGTTCTGTAGCCCGAACTGCCAGTCGTTATAGCCTAGCACTGTGCTACATCAGAAACGCGTGGAGCGGAGAAAGCTAGGGCGCACATACATTGCTGTTGGTTGACTGCCGGGTTACCTGTAGGAATATCCTGCCCGCTTTGGGATTGTAACGAGATGCTGGCGTCTCCTAGCAATTGGTCGTTTAGCGAGGATGCAGATAACTTCCTATTCATCTTCTGGTTATCCGCGAATTCAGGATTTGCCTTGCCGTCTTCGTCGACAGGCTGGGTGTCTTGTTCGCCTTTGATCCGTTTCGACACTTCCCGGGGCTCATCATGACACAAGTGGCCGATGTTCCGCTTTATACATCGAGTACAAGGACGTTCCTAACCAAGATATCAACCAGGTGAGCCCTCCAAGAACGGTTTTCGTCAGGTGCAAGGAATGAATTAATGATGCAGGGTCGTACCGAGTCGCAAGTCATATGCTGTCCGACAACAAGAGAAAGTTAGCGAGTCCCCTTCGGCTTAAACAGGGTGACTTGGATCAAATATTCCCCGTTGAGCCCGTAGGTTGAGTACCACATATGTGCACGTATGCGCAAATGCAAGGGCGTGGGCCATTCAGGGTCCTCCAAGTAAGAAGAAAGAAAATTTATGGTAGCTCACCGAGCGCCGGCAATAGACACAGGCTGCAGAAGTTAGTCACAGATTAGCGAATGATGTACCGCCCAAGTCTGCAAATGGAAGTTCAAATAGAGAATGAAGTGAAGTAGGTGGGAAAAGACCAAGAAATCAGGGTGTGTATGTCACATTCCATTGTGCCGATCCCTCCAGAGCATTGCGTAGGAGAAGATGAGAAACAGTTAATAGCTCACCATGATTCACCTTGCGCCGTTTTTTGGGGCTGGCACTTGCAGGTGCCGCAGCTCCGTCTGCAGGCGTTGAGGTTGTCTGGCTGTTTTTCATAACCATATCTTTGGTTGCGACGGGATTGTCATCTGTCGAAGTGGAACGAGTCATGCCGTCAGATGCCCCATTGCTCGGGGTCCTCCCTTCGCCGGCCGTAGTCACAGCTGCCTCCGTCATGATGCCCATCAGAGTGGCCAGACCAGCGTTCGCCGTCCGGCCGTTTGCTGTGGAATTCGGGTTGTTGATTCTGTGTTTCACGCACGGTCCGGCGGCCGAATTAGCGATGTCTTCACACCCGGTACCACTATGATAAAGCAATCAATTGCAATGGAAGTCAATGGGCTGGATCCGTAACGGGATGATGCGATTTTTGTTCGCTCCAGATAAAATGCGACTTGGCGGGCTTTTAAGGAGAGGCTGGAGTAACGTTTGCCTTCGCGGCCCCGCCTGCAGTCTGGTTTCTGGAACCCCTTGCCTCTCGCCCTACAAAGCTCCGCTGTTCCTTGCGTTGAAATCGAAACATTGCCCGCGCATCGATATGAGGGAACAAACATCCTCAGATCATGCGGCATGAGCTGTTCAATTCTCTACTTGCAGACTACACAGGGGTTAGTTCCGAGGAACATAATTAACCGCTTACTGGTAACTAAACTTGATGCACGTGAGGGAGAGAGGATAGGTACGCGATGACATTCATACACCTATGATTGCTTTTGCATCAAAAAGTCTTGTCAGGTTGAGTACCCGTCCAAAGATCTTCGGATTCCTAGGATCAATGCTTGGACCGGAATACGGCACAGAATCTCCTGAATCCCACCCCGTTCTTCCAACCACGAATCGGCAATTCGCCTGGCGCTGTAGCTGCCAAGCCCTATGTACAGCACGGGTTCCAAGCAGAGCCGGCCAAGAAGACCCTGTGCGACGCCCTGCACCGCATCTCTAAAGCAAGTGTCAAGCGTTTCGGGCAGGGCATTAAGCAGCGCCCTACCTATCTGTTAATATCGGGAGGCGATGCTAATGGTGTTACACAAGTTCTCGTAATCATCTTGAGCCATGACCAGAGTCGAGGTGAACGAGACGATTGATGTCCTAATAAGGAAACATGCAGAGATGAATATGGGCTGAGTTTGAAAGATTTTCCCAGAGGATTTTCCCATTTCGCCAATTTCACCCTAGTGGGAGCATACTTAACGCAGATTGGGCGCGTGTAAGAGCCTCCCGAATGCCAGTAACCTGTTCGGCGTTGGTTTGCATGGATTCGAGATGATTCCGCAGTTGTTTCACCAAAGATAGGACATCCGGATCTGCGTCCAACTATAGATCTTCATTAGCCACCGATGCAAGATCCAAACAGATAGGGCACACACGTCGCATAATAACCCGGGTTTATCTTGGTTATCGGTCACGTTAAAATCCGCAGGGTCCTCCATTCGCGGGGGAAGCCGTTCGAGACGCCGGAGAACCGGATGCACCTTATCAAAGCGTCAGCGCGAATTGTCACCTGCCTAGCCCGCGTCCAACACACATTCTTTGATTGCTTTTTGCTCTGCGCCTCAGCTGCCTTGGCATTCTTTTCCAGTTCCTCCAATTTTGCAGTATCCCTTGCGAGCTGGAGTTCCTCCCGTTTGATCTCTCTCCGGAGTAGGGTAGCGGAACTTGTCATCGTTGCCAATTGGCTTTCTAGTAAGCGCTGCATTCGCTAATTAGCCCGGGAAAATAAGTCCGCACCACTGATAAGGGGTTCCCTCACATTCTCGTTCAATGCTGCCTCGTAATTAAAACTGATCTCCTTCGTCCCAGGCGGAAACGGCATTCTCGGAAGTCGTTTGCCTAAACTGCAAGGCGCAATTAATCCACTGACCCGTACAAGCAGACCAAGGTAAAAAAAAGAAAGAAGAAGAGAAGAAAGTAAATCCAGTAAGATTCTCAGAAGACCATACTTCTTCCTAACAGCGCTCAGCGCAGACTGTGCCTCGACTCTCTTCTTCCCATCCTTTTGTCTCGTGAGCACGGGAAGCTCCGTCGCCTGGAAAAGCTCTTTAATCCGATCTTGAATTGGCTCCGAGAGTGGTGCCCATTTCGACTTGACGGTACGCTCGGAAATGTGGCGGGTACGAGGCACGAGCATCGCGACGCGCTTGTTCGGCTCGTTCTCAACTTGGTCACTGTCAATGGACGACGTGCTGCTGCGCAGCTTGCGTTTCGGGGCCATGGCGCGTTAAAATCGCGTTGTAAAAGTCTGGCGGAGGGGAATCTGACGCGTTGATATTTGCGGTTTATCGCCAGTCGTCTGCTCTACAGAGTAGAGATCTGTTGTTTTCCGGAGTGCGGTCAATCGGAAGTTGAAGCACGTGTTGGGGCTCCTAAACAAGCTTCCAGAACAAGTTGATATCCCTGTTTGTCCTGTTTTCACCTGGGGGAGAAACCAATCCGGTTACATAAGCAGACGGCGGGGAAAGGGTGACACTCCGTCATATATTTTCAAACAGTCGCGATGAACTAAACGTCTATATTCTTCAGTTCAGTAAGGTGTGCCAAAAGGCCTTGTTATGTCTATTTAGTTTTATGGATTCAAGGGGATCCGACCTTCTTCGGAAACGGTAGATCTACAGTTGACTCGAACATATCCCTGCAGCCCGCGCCAGTGGAGTGAGCTAGCCAATGGAGTATTTATAGAGAATTATTACACGCCATTGAACATGGCGGATATGTCGGCTGCGACCCCTCTCTGCGATCAAACTCTTCCAGGATTGATAGCACTCAGCGCCGGGGTAAGCTATACAGTTTGGCCTGTATTTCTGGACACCCCCAAGTCGTAAAAGCACGACGGAAAGGATTCGGAGAAGGAACTGGCTACAAAATAGCTGATGATGGAACCCCCCGCCGGATTTCCCATACGTTCAGAGCCCTCCCAGCCTGTGGCTTCAGTTAGCGTTTCATCCCAAACTCGATATGATGCCCCAATCCAAGGGAAGGTTGATACTACAGCAGAGGAACACCTCAATGCTCCGCCTAGGGAAGATTTCGGTCCTTCGGCTGAAGAAAAATTTGGGGCTCCGGCCGAGATCCAAACAAATATGGATGGATCAAATAAGGGCGGCGGCGGTGAAGCTCAATCTGGACAACCGTCAGAGGTGTCTTACCCCGAAGGGGGGCTGAGTGCGTGGTTGGTCGTTATCGGATCTTGCTTTGGGACAGCTGTGGCCCTTGGGATGATGTGAGTATTAACTAGACCTGAGCGACAAAATAGGAGCGAATATTAACAACCTCGTAGGAACACAGTTGGTACTTTCCATTCATATATCGGTGAACATCAGCTCAAAGAATACGATGAAGGCACTGTTGGATGGATCTTCAGCGTTTTCATTTTCCTTGGATTTTTCGGAGGCATCCAAGTTGGACCCGTGTTCGATGCTCGAGGTCCTAAAATGCTCATGCTCGCCGGCAGCATCTGCATGTGCACCAGCATGATGCTTCTCGGTTTATGTACCGAGTATTGGCATTTTATGTTGTGTTTCGGAGTGCTCGGTGGTATAGGGGCATCCCTAATCTTTACCCCCGCGCTCTCAGCGGTAAGCCATTTCTTCCTCGAAAAGCGAGGAACTGCAACTGGCATCGCCGCAGCAGGGGGCTCTCTTGGCGGCGTCATCTTCCCGCTGGCTTTGCAAAAACTATTCCCAACGGTGGGCTTTGCCTGGGCTACTAGAATCATTGGATTCGTAAACATCTTTTGCTGCGTCGTCGCAGTCATTTTAGTTCGCTCTCGGCTCCCCCCAAAGCCTGGGCAGACGGTTAGGCCCAGCCTCCGAATATTCCGTGACCCGTCATATCTACTTTTTACCGTGGGACTCTATTTCATGGAGTGGGCTCTCTTCGTTCCGATAACGTACCTTACTTCTTTCGCCTTGTCGACAGGTGCCATGACTCCGGAGTTTTCGTATCAGCTCATTGCCATAATGAACGCAGGCTCGTGCATCGGTCGATGGGCGCCTGGATACATCGCCGACAAACTAGGCCGTTTCAACAGCATGATCGCAGCACTCGCCCTTTGTACAGCCGTGACTGTAACCCTCTGGCTCCCGGCCTCGATCCTATTTTCGAACGACTCCTCGTCTGCAGCTATCATCAAAGCACTTTCCATTGTGTATGCGCTCATTTTTGGCTTCGCTTCTGGTTCCAACATATCATTGACACCAGTATGTGTGGGCCAACTTTGCGACACAAGTGAGTACGGCAGGTACTATGCAACCTGCTACACAATTGTTTCTTTCAGCACACTAACAGGTATCCCAATTGCTGGAAGGCTTGTGCAAGCGGCCGGTGGACGCTACTGGGGCGTTGTCATCTGGACCGGAGTTTGCTATATTGTATCTTTGGGCTGTTTTATCTGGAGCCGTGCCTGTTGTGTTGGCTGGAAGTTGGGCGTGAAGTTTTGATATGATTCTTATATTTTGCGGGTTCAGTGATGTACAGGCGCAAAGGCAGACTATGCCCAGGGAAGCAGCCTGATAGCAGCGTAGAAAGCATCTCTCTCAAGCTCATTGACACCTGAATGCAAACAATTGGCCACACCCCTTACTGTCATGTTTCGTCGTTCGACAATCTGAGCAAACATTTTAACTCTGGGGAACTCGAAACAAAGAGCTGCCTCTGTAAACATCATGTGCGCGATGTGTTATGCCTTTACGCGCGATGAACACGCCCAGCCTCCCAGATGATGTTTGCTTGCTTGAAAAGTGATTCTCCAGGAGACACACAAAACCCCATCCCCACCCACACTGCCACCCCCAGCTAGCGGTTAATCTCCGCAGGGCGACTGCACAGTGCACAGGCTGAAGATCAGAACATTCTTTTCCTCAGCCAACAGCTAGTTATAAGTTCCAGCATCGGCAGATTGACACGTGCTTGGCCAAGAAACAACCCCCCCTTCCGGCGAAAGAAACAACTGTCACATGCCAACCGACAATCCCTCAACGTCATGCACGCTCTTCAACTTCAGAAAAAAGTCTGAAAAGTCACACACTGAACTATCAACTAGCCGCTTTCCAACCTTCTTTGGGCTCCCCCCTCCCCCGCCCTTCCTTCAGGCACCGATGATGCGGGTTGGATGTGCGGGGGGCGGGGACGGGTGACGCGGGGGGGGAGACGGGAGCTACGTCAGTAGAAACTCTCCCGCAGAAAAACGTGGATCGATCCCGAAACCCTTGAAGGGAGGGGGGTGAGGAAGGGGGGTATATGTTGTCGGTGAGGTTACGTGCTGTGCGGCTGGGGCCAAAAAAAGGGTGAGAAGAGCAAGATCTGAGAGCATGCCGAGGGTTTCGATTCTTTGATTTCATCAAGCAATCGATTCCGTGGGTTTGGGGGGAGAGGGCCAACTTGCCCATTGAAAGTAGCTCTGAACCGGCAGGTTTTGTAGAATTGGAAGCCTGGATTGATGATATGCCTTTTTGACGCACCCAGAGACGAGAATTTTCATTCTTATGATATTCATTCGTAGATGCCACAAAAGATTAGTTTATATACTAATGAGATAAGGATATACAAATCTCAAGATGCAGTCCAATGATGATTATTTTAGTATCCAACCCGGATTCTTTTCAACAGCGGCTTGCATGTCACCGAATAACGAAAGACCGCACCTTATCTGCTCTCTGACAGAAAGGCAAATGCAATATAAAAAAGGGGCTGGAATAGAAAATGGAAAAGAAAAGTAAAAGGGCCGGCTGGAAGTACTATACACAGAAGTCAAGGGTATGCACCAGGCGCTTTGCTGTGGATATTAGTATATTAGGAGATATAAAGTGTGAATCATTAGATTAAACGCCCATGTTTAGACGATGGAAAACGGAATAGCCCTGGGAAATAGGTGCGTATTGGTATCATCCACCGGTTTGCGCTTTCAAATCTTCTAACTGATGCTTGAGAATCTCATTTCCTTCAAGCAGGTCTTGTAGCCAGTCACCTGCCTGCGCGAGCATGGTGCTTTTGCTAAACCCGCCACCTCTCAGGTCAGGGACAAGCCCACATAATTCATCAAACCCTTGCTTGATGAGGTTTCGGCGCTTTTGCTCCGATAGAATGTGGTTCGCTCGCTTCTGTTCCTCCGAGAGATTTTCACGAGGCGGCTTGATCACGTGAATCTTTGATCTGCGCGACTGGGCGCCACTATTCGACGACCATCGTCGGTCTCGTCGAGAATTGGAAGGTCGGCCGAGGGAAGGCTGAAGATAATCGTCTTCTTCATCCTTTAGTCGTCCCTTATTCTTCCGTCTTTTTGACGGCCGGGTTTCATCGTCCGGATCTGTTCTATCAATCGGCGAAGACTGCTGGAAAGAATCCGGGCTTCGGAGAGCGCCCAATCCGGAGCCATTACGGCCGGGACGTCGTCGAGGATTAGGACTCGAGGGCCGAGTATTTGGAGCGCTACTCTGGGATTCGAAACACTCTAAATTGTGGAGTATCTCAGTCGTCCTCTCTTCCATGGTTGGCTGGTCAGCCGGGACTTGATATCCTTGTTCTGCAAATCCGGCATCCGAGCCCCATCTCAAAGGACCGAATATTTGTTCTTTATGAGGGGCTGGTTCTGATTCAGTATCAGGTCCTGCTTTGGGGGGGAAGGCCGTATCGGTGTACGTGTGGTTTCTTCGTGTAGAGTTGAAACGAAGTCTTCGATTCTCTTCCCCAAGCCCATACCGCGCCTGTTTAATGTGTGCCTGGTGCGAACTTAGATCCTCTAACCCGTTTTCAGTAAATATTTGACTCGTAAACGTCGACGAATAATCATTGCCGTTCATTCCATTTTGATAAAGCATCGATGCGGCTGCTAGAACATCCGAACTCGGGGGGCCAGCCTTATCAGGCATCGTAGTTTGGCGATGTATCCTTTGCGGCACCAAAGGTTGCGAGGGCAATGAAGTCGTGGACCCTTCAAAGGTCGGGGGCAAGTCTGGCCATTCGAAATGAAAACCCGAATTTCCAGCACCATGATCACCTAGACTAAACCCAGAAGTCATTGTTATCGAGTTGATTGGCGTGCATGGAAGTGAAAAAGTTATCCAGCATGCTGGATTCGCTATCGTCCAATAAAGCAGGTCCCGGGGGAGGGGCTGGTGCGGGCTCGTAGGGTGTATAAACTGAAAGTCAAGGCGACCACGAGTTAGTAAAACTGCATCTGTCCACTTCCCCAAACCACCAAGACTCACATCCAAAAGGGCCAGGCGCCGAACGGCCTCCGTGTCCGTGGACATGTTCAGACATACTGACTTCTGTCATGGTAGGGGCTCGACTCCAGCGCAGATTGGGATATTGCTGCAAAGTTATAGGCGAAAGAATTATTGCAGACTGTAGCTAAAGAGAGGACGCGAAGGAGATCAGAGTGCCCGGAGCCGCACAGTCTGGCATCTAAATGGAATGCGGACGGGGAGAGTTTGCTGAGGGGAGTCAGTTGACAGGCAATAGGGCACCACGAGACGATAAAAATAAACTGGTAAGCAGAAGGGGCATATATCAGACAGATGAATAGGCGACTCATGAAAATCTGGGGAAATTATTTGCTGGTCAAAACATGGTTGAGCAATGGAGACCAGGTGCGAGCGAGGGAGCGGCATTGGCTGGATCCTGCATCGGGGGGGGGCCTACAGGGACATGGGCTGGACAGCGCGAGAGGCCGGAGGGCGGATCACATGCAAACCCAATCCTTCCAGATGATCTGCCCAGCAGCGCTGTTCGCGTGACGTAGCGCCCTTTGCACCAGGCCCAAACACGGGCCTCGCTCGGCTGCCGGGCCCGTGGTTTTTCCGCGCCGGCCGTCTCGGTCGTTGTCCTAGCGGCAACTCTATTCGCTGTCGCGCCGTCCTGTAATAAATTGCGCGCCCGTAATTCAGCCAGTCAGCGCCGCCATTACACGCTCAGTGCCCCACCGCCGCCCACAGCAGAAGAACCGCCACTGCGACATTCCCACAAATGCGAATACGACCCTCTCCTCGCCGACCCGGTGGGCCGAGACGGGCTTCTGGAAAGAAAAATAAAAAATAAGAAAAAAAGGACGTGCTCTCTGGTCGCGCTGGAAGACTCAAGAGTTGAAACACGGCTCCAAACCCGACGTCTCCACTAAACTACCATCGTGCTGGGCATCGATCTCGAACCACACTCATCTCTCTGCGCGGACGCTGAGACGCGCTTCCAGCGATCTAGCTAATTGGCCTGAACACAGAATGTGGTCATCGTACGTCGTCACGCTGGCCCACACGCATTGTTGGTCGTTCTCTTAGACCGCGTGATGCGCCCGGATGCGAGATCTCAAACCACGGTATCTGGACGACGAGATCAGACACCCCGATACCCTGCCTGCATCGTGCGAGAAGACCCGGAGACGTTGTTTTACTATCAGAACTGAGCTCAGGGGTTCGTTCTACAACTGCCACTGCTGAATCCTGCAAGGCGCCTACATGGAAAAGAAGGCCTCGGGCTTTGAATGCATGAACGGTTCACCAAGATGAAACTGATAGCTTCTTGACATCCTTGCCACTGGCCAGGAGAGCTCGACCCTGCGCAACCTAGATTTCTTTTCAAGGGTCGGGCCCTGAAAGGGGCATGGTGTTTGGATGGGTTCACGGCTCCCCTGAGGTTGATAGGGCAGAACTCCCCAGGGTTCCCTAGCCTTTCAAGAGGTTTGCAGAAAGCTGAATGGGGTTCAGTTTAGCTGTCGATCCATCATCCCACTCCAGTAAGCCCCTTGAACTCGCCGTTAAGGCCTCCGTTTCGGCTTTCGCTTCCTAATCCAAGCCAGAGCAGAGGCCAAAAGTGGGATAAGCAAGACTCGGTTTAGCTCAACACCATACGGAGATCGGAAAAGTCCAGTGACTACTCCGCAGAGTTCTCGGACACTCGGGGACCACTCTGCAGATTCGAATGATTTTCTGCAATCGGCTCTCGACAAGGATTTCTCATTATTAACCAGGGCGAGATCTCCCAGGCACCCGATTGCTCGCACCTCCCCCCTTTCGCCCTGTCTTTTTGCTCGGCCCGTTGTAGGAGTAGCTTCGATTTGTTACGGAGCAGTCTTTGGCACTGTATTGGGCGCAAACACCCGATCCGGAGAGAAGTTCAAGCAGGTTTCCAGAGGAAATATCTTGTTCGGAAAGCCGTGGGCATCGACAACGAAAACCTGAGGAACTCTCGAGAAACCAAGACCTTGGGCATCTAGACTTTACTGACTCCTTGCCTGTCAATTTTGACTTGGCAACAAGGATCTGTGTGATTTACAGTGACAGCTTGCATCGGCGCAGACACCCAATTGCACTCGCCCAACTTCAGCTCCGTACTTTGGCGTCAATCGGTTTGTTTGTTGTCTGATGTAACATGAATCCTCCTTTTTTTTTTTCTGCTCATCAAGAAGGGGATGGAATTCCTGGAACAAATCGTAAGCGACTCAAACCCTTGCTCTCATTTAGTCGAGAAGGATGAGGACCAGTCAAAATCGGTTTAACTTTCCGAAACAGCGTTGATTTTATTTATCTCGATTCAATTGTTAGAGGTTTCATACTTCAATCCAAAATAATTCGTAGTTCGAGGGACGGTGAAGTGGACGTAGCTTGTTTGATGTGAAGATACATGGCAGTCGGAACGAACGTGACTGCCAACCCAACCGAGGTTTCTCATGAAGCTTGCAAACCACCAGGATGGTCGCTGGACAACATCCAAACGTCTGGTTGATCCCTCCAAGGACCAACATCGACTTTCCCAGCACCGCGGGGATAAAACAAGGAATCCAAGTGGAAGATGAAAATCTCCGAAGTGGTCAAAGTGGAATCCATTCTGTCAATCTCTGTGTCCAAACTCTGAAACGCATTGAAACCGATCATCCACCACCAAACTAGCCGCTGCCGCGCTCAGGGGGCCCCATCATGGACCGGATGCCTCGACGTCGGATGAAGATTTGTGACTCGAGAGTCCTGAAACCGTATGTATCTGCTTTGCTAAGCTTTAGTAACAGTTGACTGGAATCCATTAGTTACGAATTGAATGTTAGGGATTGACGGTGCTAACGCGTCAAGGGCAGAACTCTTCGCGCCTTCGCCCTGGGCTATCTTACTACAACCGGGCCTAGAATCATATCCTTCCTACGGATTCTTCGCAGGAAGGATTTGAGCACTGAAACCAAGATCAGATACGTAAGCAGCAAGGTCCTCCTGTTGAATTTCTTTCTGGGAAGCTTTTCTGCGCAACTCGCTATCTCCCGTTGATGCATCTGTAATTCTGATTCTGAACTAATACAAGAATGTAGCTTGCTTCGATCTTGGCTGGTTCGCTCAGGTGGAACCGATTCCCTGCATTTTGTGCTCTTCTAGCTGCAGGTTCAACGCTATTACCCCTTCTCCTGAACAAGATCGTATCAACAGCCTTCAATCTCCATGGGTGTACAAACCAGGTGTTCCCGGCTGTAAAGCTGAGCAGGTTTTTACGATTTGTGGCGATCTTTACGTCTGCTTGGGCTTGCTTTCGCCTTATCAACAGTAGGAGACGACCTGAATCGAAACCCAATAGTATCAGAAACGGGGGTTTCCCAGCTAGGAAGGAAATTGAGGCAAAGACATCTAGCTTGGGCGGGAGCGATTCCCTTTCCAGGGCAACAGATCGGTCCGAACTAGCAGGAAGAACTCTAGATTTAACTCTTTTCGCAATGGTTCGGGCGGTGGATGTGCTTGCTTGTATCTCCTGGTCTCACTGGAAGCGGTATCGACGAGCTCGCAAACGCTTTACGCGCATAGAGTCGATAATGCCGCAACTCTCGGACACTGGTTTATTTGCTGCAACTGCAGCTCTTGTCATGTGGGCTTGGTTTTATCTTCCGGAGAGGCTGCCCTTCTCCTACGGGAGGTGGATCAGTGAAGCCGCACAAATTGACCATCGACTCATTGAGGCTTTGCGAAGTGCACGGAGAGGCGAATGGACCTATGGGCGACCGAAATCGAAACTGGTCTTAGAACCAATGTGCGAGGACTACGGTTGGCCGAGAGTCTGGGGTGACACCTCTCAGACTGTCCCGATTCCGTGTGAACTTGTCCATATGGGTTGTGGCCCAAATTGTGAAGTCCATGCCATATGGCGATTCGCAAAGTCATTCAAATTCGTGCTCACGACGGATTTACCCATACAACTTCTATTGCGCTCAAGGTCTCCTTCCCTTCAAGGCTATCTTGGGGCAGTGAAGGCATCTCTTCGCTCTTCTGCTTTCCTGGGCCTTTTCGTTAGCATTTTTTATTATTCTGTATGCCTAGCGCGCACTCGACTTGGCCCTAAGATATTCGCCCGGGACAAGGTTACGCCTATGATGTGGGATTCCGGATTATGTGTCGCTGCGGGCTGCATGATGTGCGGCTGGAGTATTTTTGTCGAAAGCGCCAAGAAACGTCAAGAGATTGCTCTTTTTGTCGCTCCAAGGGCGATTGCTACTTTTCTTCCTCGGCGGTATGAGCGGAAGGTGAGTTCGTTCTACTCCGTCACACTGCAGAGTAGACATATTGCTAATGATATGTGGCAGTATCTATGGAGAGAGCAGTTGGTGTTTTCTCTCAGCACTGCAGTTGTTTTGTCGTGTGTTCAATCAGATCCCAAAAAGATACGGGGTGTTTTAGGAAGGATTCTGGGCCAGGTTTTCGGAAAAACATGAATCTGGAAGTATCATGCTATGGCTTCTTTTTCGATTGTATTTTTAGATTTTCGGCACACTTGGAGAGTGGAGGGACATTCTTCTAGTCTTGTAACTAGGTAGCAACATTTTAATAGCTCAAACCCGCATGAGAACAGATAGACGTTCACCATTATAAGATCAGCTCCATTTCCGGCGAACCACATTGGTATAGAGAATTCGACAAATGCACCACGGTATCCACGAGTTGGAGATAGTTTTCATGCCATAAAATCAATAAAACGGTGTAGTTAAAAAGGCTCCAAGGAACAAAATCCATGCCGGAAGATCAGCCACCGCCAATCTGACGCGATGAAAACCCAGCCACTTGGCCGTCTCACCGGAAGCACCGATCTCGGACCGCCTCTGAATTATTCTACGAATCGGATGCTTGACCCACGGAGCAAAGACAAAATGCCCAAGAGCAGCAGCCAGCCCAGTCCAGTAGAGCTTCGTGCTCAATGTTGGAATCGAGAAGTGATGGTCAAAAACCAAGTTCGCCATAGCGGTGCCACCGGTGGTTATGTTGAGAGCGATAACAACCAATGCGGAACGATGAAAGACGCCTTTCCACCACCCAGGTAGAATGGCGTCTGATTTTTTGCGGAGTGATGGGTGGAGGAAGGATGAGTAGAAGACGAGGTGTGCGGTTGAGTAGACGAGGGTGCCGGTGCTGCTGATGAGGGGTGCGACTCGAAGGAGTCGCATGGGGTCGAAGAATGCTCCTGATGCCATCTTGCTTATGGGATGTAGATGAGGGCGAGAATGGTAGGAAGGAGAGTGCTAGGCTGTATAGGTGTTCTGTTTTGAATGATGTATTGTTTTGTTGATATTGATTGACTTTCGATCAAGGTTGGGCGGGGTTCACGAGGTTCGAAGGAAAGGATGCATACGTCGATGTTATTGGCGGGACGCGGGAGCCGGAGAAGCCGAGCACCTCATTGGCTCTTGGCGATCGAGCCGGCAGACAACGACGTTAAACCTAGGTAGGAATAGCCTGGTTCCTGCGAGATTCACGATCAACGCCGATTTGAAGCTGAGGGGGGTCAGCAATTCAACAACAGCAATTCTTTACAGCCCTAACCATGGCATTTCGGATGACCCCGTCTTGGGGTCGGCTTCTTTCTACGCAAAGGGTACTTCCGTCGTTTCGCGCCGTTCACAATGATTTCACTCGGACGATGGCCCGCAAGTTCTCAAATCAACCTCCGCGTCAGCAAATCACACCAGCAATGCGGAATGCGTTTTCGGCGAAGCAGAATACTACTACACTGTAGGCTATCTGGTTTAGTCTGACGTCCCTAGATGATGGCTGACTTGTATAGGTACTACACGATTAGTTTGATTGTCGGGACGCTGGCCCTAGCGTACGGTTCGGTGCCGATGTATAAAATGGTAGCTATCCCTGCATTCCAAGCCCATAACTCGTCGAGCGTATGTTAAAATACCATGGCAGATTTGCCAACAAACGGGATGGAACGGTCAGCCCGTCTCGTCCCATCTCGTGAACGGGGAGAATACTGCGTCCCGTCTGATCCCAGTCACCGATTCCCGCCGACTCCGCATCACCTTCAACGCCTCCGTATCCGACGTCCTTCCTTGGAAATTTACTCCTCAGCAACGCGAGGTTCGGGTGCTCCCCGGGGAAACCGCATTGGCGTTCTACACTGCGACGAATAAGGGGGATAATGATATCATTGGCGTTGCAACTTATAGTGTCACACCGGCTCAGGTTTCTCCTTATTTTAGCAAAATCCAGTGTTTTTGCTTTGAGGAGCAGAGGCTAAATGCTGGCGAAACGGTGGATATGCCAGTGTTCTTTTTCATTGACCCGGATTTCGTAAACGATCCAGCGATGAGGGGCATTGATACGATAACTTTGTCGTACACATTTTTTAGTAAGTCCCCATCCGATAATAATGTAACATGAAATACTGACCCATAACACAGAGGCTCGCTATGATGATAATGGTATCCTGACGCCGGTTCCTATCCGGTAATACATCAACTATAGCCCACCACATCCATCCAAAGGTTGGCGGCGGCCAAACCCCAATACCTATATCTACACATATTCGACACGATTTGCGACTATACGATGAATGTCAAATCCATTCAAATCTCCTACTATTGGGCATCTCAAATGGTGAACAATTCTTTCTCATCGGCTCTGGCGTTTAACGGATTGGATATCCTCTCAACTTTGGCATTAGGCGTATAACATTCACGGACGCATTCTGACGGAAAAAGAAATGTACATAAACGATCTGTACTATACATTCTATACATCCCTTAATTATTCAGCTTGTATATAAACGTGGCCGCTTGAAAATTTAATTATCTTGAAGGCTGAATCCTAGTCTAACAATTCTCACGAAGGCTTGGCGCACGGACCACCTATTAAGATCAGAGTCGCGTCAACGCGTTTGACGAACTTCAGATCAGCGATACTGCATTCGAAGAATTTAGACCTCCAAACAAAACTTATTATCGTTGACAAGACCAATTGTGATTGATTGATTTTGCAATGGCGCTTCTAGTCGATAGACAACGTCCTCGCACGCTTGATGCCCTTACTTACCATCATGACCTGTCCGCTCGCCTCAAGTCTCTGGTGGGATACTCTCCAAATCTGTCCTCGAAGTCGCTAATAACCAAGCTATAGGCCCAACGCGGCGACTTTCCACACCTTCTCGTTTACGGTCCCTCTGGAGCGGGCAAGAAGACCAGAATAATTGCCACATTAAAGGAGCTGTACGGCCCCGGGGTGGAAAAGATAAAAATCGATGCCCGTGTTTTCCAAACGTCGAGTAATCGTAAACTCGAATTCAACATCGTCGCCTCGGTATATCATCTTGAGATCACGCCGTCTGACGTTGGAACATACGACCGTGTGGTGATTCAGGAGCTACTCAAGGAGATTGCGCAGACTCAGCAGGTGGATTTGTCCGCAAAACAAAGATTCAAGGTTGTGGTGATCAACGAGGCCGACCACCTTACGCGAGACGCACAGGCTGCGCTGAGGAGAACGATGGAGAAATACAGTCCGAATATGAGACTTATTCTGCTTGCCAATAGCACGGCGAATATTATCGCCCCCATCCGCTCGAGAACACTACTGGTACGGGTAGCCGCACCGACAGAGGATGAGATATGCCAGGTGCTGAAGGCGGCTGCGAAAAAAGAGGGTTGGACTGAGGCACCTGGTTTAAATAAAAGAATCGCCAAGGAAAGTGGGAGGAATTTACGTAGAGCACTCCTTATGCTTGAAGCCGTATATGCGCAGAAGTAAGCTGCACCCGACGGCATTTTTAGATGAACGATTTAGTACTAACGGCGAGTAGTGAAAAAGTAACAAATGATACCGTGGTGCCGCCACCAGACTGGGAGGCACTGATTTCTGTTGTTGCGGAGGAAATTATGGCGGAGAGATCTCCAGCACGAATACTACAAATTCGAGCCCGGTTATATGATTTGCTAACGCATTGCATACCTCCGACTACTATTATCAAGGTATCAACCGCCGACTAAAAGCAAGTGATTAGATATCAAATCACTAACTTGGCGCCTAGACATTGACCTTCCAACTCGTGTCCAGAGTTGACGATATACTGAAGCCCGAGGTGATCAAATGGTCTGCTTTCTTTGAACATAGGATAAAGCTAGGAAGCGTGAGTCAATCCTGGTCTCCTACAATAGGGAATGATGGCTGATTAACTACTTGTTGATCTTTCCAGAAAGTGATTTTTCACCTCGAAGCATTTGTGGCAAAATTCATGAGAATACTTGAAAGGTAGGCTCCCTGAGTCCTTTGTATTGAGAGCAGAGCTAATCATCAGTGATGGACGTTAAAGTTACCTGATGGGCATAGATCTGTAAATGACTTATTACCCCGGGTTTCTTTTTTGCCAGCAGGATTGGCTCCTTTTGGCGTTTGGGACTTGAATTGTAAACCATTATCAAGCATTTATGCAATTATCATCATATGAAGCCCTTGTCTCTCAAGTTTTTACATTGTCATGGAATGGTATTTTCTATCGAAATTCTGACGAGTTAAATCTTCTCAGGGCTTGTAAATGGAGAGATGTACACATAAAAACCTCTGTGAACCATACTATCATACATATAACCAACGCCACGACATGTCCATCAAAAAGGCCTCTAAGGTGTAACACTCGCTGAAGAGACGGAGGGTTGTTCTGTGATAACTGTAGGAGTTATCTCCCGTCTCGCCCTCTTTAATGAATCCAACGTAATTCCGTCTGTCAATTTGGTAATCCCAACAACTGGCGGATCGCCCTTTTTAACAAACTCATAGAGCCCTACAAACAATTAGCCGGGCGTTAGGAATAAAGAATTGGGTGTCGACGGACCAGGCAATTTATGCGCAGCCAATCTAAATGCCTCCCTTGCAACCTTTTCATGCAAATTTCCTTTCAGTTCAAAAATAATCCGGCTAACCGGTACTCTGGCAGCCCAGTAGTCGAATTTACCCTTTCCTTTACCCATACGTTGTTCATTGCCAGAAGTATAGACACCAATATTCGCGCTGACCCTTGTGTACAATTTGAAATCCATGCCTCTGAGCCGGCGGTTTATCGTTTCCATTCCGATCTTCAATTGCGAGGCGGATATTCTGCGATCGTGGTCCTTCATGCGGAGACCGTAATCGCCCCAAACTACCGTAGTGCCGCGGGTAGATCCTCCGGTTGGCATGCGCGGGCGTCCCTTGCGCGATTTACTCTTCTCCGGCATTTTGGGGAGTAGCCAGTCCAAGGTCGGCTTGGATGTTGAAAAACATCGTGCGGAGGAAGGTAGGGAATGTGGTTGAGAAACTGCAGATATCACAGATGGTTAGCAGCCGTTGTCACTGGGGCATTGGCACTGGGAAATCACTAACGAAAGGGTCGGAGAAAGGATAACTGGAGACCCGAAAATAACCCCGATGGAGGGCCCATCTTGCTCTGATTTAGGATGTGTTAAGCCGTACGCCTCGAATCGTGCTTCCAGCGCCGAGCAAGCGATAAAATGATAGAAGTTCCAATCCACGCACGGACCAATTGCGAGACAATGATAGGCTGAGTAATCAAGCCTGGGCAGCGAGTCACGTGCTAGACGCGTCGGAGCCTCCGTTCCAACTTCCATTTGAGCGCGACGAGTGCTAGGGTGACGTGCTGCCTGGCGGATGCATCCAAATGGTTACTTGAGGCCTGGACACAATGAGTTACCGAAATTGAGCTTTTGGAGGTAGATCACATTTTTGCGACTTATTAGAATCCTTTCTGAAAATGCCGACCGATATTCGAAGCTTTTTTGGCACGCAAGGCAGCCAGGGCTCGAAATCCGGGAAAGAGACCAGTGTCAAAAAACCGGAGGTAAGGATTGTAACATCAGTTTTCCCTCATAAGTCGCTTATATGCATAATGGGATGGTATTAACGGTCTGGTGTAGGATCATTCCAAAGCTAAGAAACGCCGTGAGTGCACCTAAGCTTCATCTAACAGTTCAAGATTTATAACCGTGCCGATATAGGTAGCAGAAAGGTCGTTGAGGACTCTGACGACGAGGAGGATCTTCCCGTTAAACCCACCCCCAAACCTCGACAAAAAAAGGAGCAGTATGTTATCATAATCCACGTGGAAAATGAGCTATGCCTAACCACGGCTCACTTTTAGAAAGCCAGGTGGAGCCCAAAGGAGAACCTGTGACCGCTTCGGACTATTTGC